ATCCAGGTGGCTTATTGTGTGGCCTATTGACTCAGGGCACAGTTATTACATTCCAGAGCAGGAAGGTGCAGGCAACTAGTTTCAGGCGAGGGAATTTTCAGTCATTTCATTTAATCAACCGAATAATTCTTGGTTCAACCTTTAGCCAAATCCAAGCCATGTTAGCTACTCAGTCCTCAGTATTCAAGACCATACACAAACAGACAAGCAGATTGATCTTTGAGAACAACGAAAAAAAGGAAGATGAAACTTTAAAGAACTATTATTCCTGTAACAGGTCATAACATTCTGAGGCCTATTTCCTTCTGCACTGACAGATTACCCACTGTTGTGGGGCCACAGTCTTTCATGAGTTTAGTACAAACAGCAACACGGTTTTTATTTTTAAATATTGATCTTTGCTTGGAATATAAACACATACATGATGTCCATGCCACTTTCTGTGTATTATCTCTCCTTTCCAGTTTTAAAAAGGAACAGTAACTACATGTGACCCTACTTCAGGATTTTTAACATTTTATCACAGTAGTGTTATTACTGTAACTCTGTTATACAGAGATGCTTGGTGCTAGAAGGATTCCTAGAAGAGATGAGGATTGTGATCACTAATTTATAGCAACACAGAAGGGAACCGGTGTTAGCAAGGGCAAGCAAAGTGCTGAAAGGCAGGGGAAGGATTAGAAAGGTGATCTTCTACATCCCCACTTCAAGCCAATAGCTGGACCTTTGAAACAAGGTGTTGTCTGCTTTGCACATTAATACCTACAATCCTCTCTACTGTCAACCCTACTACATGAAACATAATCCATCCAGGAGATTACATAACAAAACCCAACATGAAATACACAAAATATCTATTGTTGGTGTTTGTTCTGAAGTGTAATTTTTCCATCACATGCTCTAATCCTGTGCCAATTATAAAAACTGAGCTCAGTTTGATGATCTTCAACCAGCAGAAGGCAGTCAAATCACAAAATGGAAAAAACAAGGCTAACTTTCTTCATGAACTCAAATTGAGTCCTGGGCACACGGAGAATGCAAACATTGTCCTTCTGTTGGATGTGAAGCAGTCATGCCAGTTCCAGACACTCATAAAATTCAAGTCCCATCCCTCCCAAATTCTGCACTTTTTTTTTTTTGTTTTTTAAAAAAACCCTTCCCTCCTGTCACAGCCAGTGGTTATTGTTAAGCAGCTTAAGACACCCAGGTGAAGACTAAAAAAACCCCTCAGCACGTCCAGTGAGGGGAAACGCAGTTACCGTGAAGTACTTTTAGCAAAGAAACGAAGACACAAACTGAGCCGGGGAGCACCGCTGGCAGGCACGCTGGTTTAGGCTGGAGATTTAAGTACAGCAGACCCCACAGAACCTCCAACCACCACGGGCCTCCAGAGAACCTGGGCATCTGGAAACCACTCTTCTGTTAGTGGAGCCAAAAGACACGAATTACACAAAACAACCAACCAACCAAAACGCAAAAAAAAATAATAATTAAAAGCAGCAGAACACCTGGGAACGACCCGTGAGACGCTCTGCGAGGGGCCGGAGGGGCTGCCCTTCCCGCCCGAAGCCTCCGGCCCGGCCCC